AAGTTGAGGCTGCTGTTGTCATGCCTGCGTCTGTAGGCCTCCTGTCTGTACCTTGGGTACCACTGGATGGGACTGGAATGAGACGCCGTATACCCTGCAGGAAGACGAGTATGTGAGAAGGCGCCAGAGAACTAATCACAGTCAACCCTCCACCCACTGCCGCCCATGCATTCAGTGGACACTTACCAGCAAGGCCAAGGACATACTCCTTCGTAACGACTTCATTCTGGAAGTAGGAGTTCTTGCCAAAAAACAGCAGGATCTTCCGGCATTCCCTGGGGAACGTGTGTTCCTCCACCTGCCGTGGTAGCAATGTGGGGCAGAAATGTGAAATCTTGTTCCAGGAGACCCGCCCTCCCCTGAGGAAGGAACACACCACTTCTCCCCACCACCTCCCCGGCCCACACAGCCACCCACCCACACCGCCTCCCACTCCCAGGCCGACCTTCAGATTGGTCATGTGGCGAAGCATGCGCTCATCCTGCTTACTAATCAGGGCTGACATCTGAGGGTGGTTCACAAACTGCTGCAGGTCAAAGAGCCTTCAGGTGCTGGGCATGAGAGACCTCGACCCAGAGAACCAGTGTGGACCGCATCCTGGCGTCCTCCCCCAGGGACTGGCGTCCTCCCCCAGGGCCTCACGCCCTCCCCACAGGCTGCATCCAGGCCCACGGGGTCTCAGGATTCCGCAGGGCTCTGCTAGACACGCACAGGAGGCTGTGCACGCCCAGACGCCCGCATCCACGCCTAGCCTTGTGTGCTCATGAGGACACTGAGGACGCTTACTTCCACACAGCCACACAGCACACATCCGGTCTCGCGCCGAACAGTGGGCATTCGCACCGCCTTCCCCGCCCGCAGCAAGATGCTTAGCGGGAGCCAGAAACGTGCCCCCACGCGGCTTTGCGTGGGAAGAAGCCCTCGGTCATTTCCCCGTCCTGGCCTGGCCCTCCCCCGCCACTCCGCACTCTCCCAGCGCTGTTTCCGTGCCAGGTGCGACGTAAAGCACACGTGCCTCCACCACCCCAGCACTGCCCTCCTCCCACACTCATTGCAGAGCCAGGACCACTGGATGGGATCATGTTTGCACCTTCCCGGCCACTGGAGCGTGGCTTAGCTCCAGTCCCTGTCCTGGGTTCCTCTAAATGTCACCTCCCTTTCCTTCCTCTTGTGCAAGCCCAGCCCCCTCTGGACCCTCCACCAGCAGCAGGAAGGATACAGCCTTGGCCCAGAAACCACGGATGCCCTGGATAAGGGCACTTCTCTGTTCCAGATGACGCTGCCGCCTCTGCCACATCCTGAGTTTGAGTCGAGCGTGCTCCCGGCTGGCATATGTATTCAAGGGCTGCACCTCAGTCTGAAGAGCCTCGAGCAAGGACAGGAAAGGATGTAGGCTTGCACTTCTCTGCGTCTCTTCCTCCTGCTTCACCGGCAGCTCCTGTGCGTTCCCCAGGCACCAGCCATCTTGCTCCTTCCACTTTGGTTCCTCCTTCTCCAGCTCCTCAGCTCCTGCTCTTCGTGCCCCAGCTCCATCTCTTCCTTCTCCTCCTTTCCCAGCTTTGCCTCTTCCTCCTCCAGCTCTTCTTGTAAATCCTGTTGCTCCTGCTCCCCCCCTCCCTGCTCCACAACTTCCCTTAACTCTTCCCCATGCTCCTCCTAATCTCTCTGCTCCTGATCCTCCCCCTTCTCTTTCTGCTCCTTTTGTAAGGCCTCCTGCTCCTCCTGCTGCTGCTCCTGCCCCTGCTCCTCCTCCACCTGATCTTCGGCTTTTGACCTTCTTCCCCCTCATTCTCCTCTTACTCCTAATCCTTCTGTTCCTGTTCGTCCTCCTACTGCTCTTATGATCCTGCTCCTCCTCGTCCTCCCCCTCCTCATGAAAACCATCCTCCACATACTCATCCTCATCCTCATCCTCCTCCCACTCCTCCCCGTCCTCCCCCTCCTCATGAAAATCATCTTCCACATACTCATCCTCATCCTCCTCCCACTCCTCCTCGTCCTTCTCCTCCTCATGAAAATCCTCATCGTCCTCCTCCCCCCATTCCTCCTCGTCCTCCTCCCCCTCTTCTTGGTCCTTATTCTCCACTTCCTCTTCCTCCTCTACATAATTATCCTGCTCCCCCTCCTGTCCCTCGTCTTCCTCATGCTTCCTCTGGTCATCCTTCTCATCTGCAAGAGCATGTATTTCTGTGGCCGCCGCCTCAACTCCCTCCTCCACCAGGCCCAACAGCTCCGCCACCGATATTATGTTGTCCACCGGCAGCCTCAAATCCTCCCTTCGGCCGGACACCTCTCGCTCACGTCGGACCGGATATTCTTGTGCACGTCGGGGCATTCTGGCCCCGACACCATCGTCGTGTGGCGCCTCAGTCGCGTCCAGGAATACTGTATGCCCTCGAGCCCCGGTCTCTTGACTACCGCCTTCCATGACGAACGCGACCGCAGTTCACGGGGCACTGCCACATTTTCCACACACTACATCCTTCGCCATGGGGAGCTGGCCCAGGACCGCAGTTGGGGCAGATTCAAACGAAGCGGCAGGAGGGGAAAGGTCGGGCCTCCCTCACCAGACCCAGTCAGTGGAGCCCTGACGACAAGGGCTGACAACGCCCTCCCGCCTTCTGCCGTGGAGCAAGGGCCCAGGGGGCGCATGCGCACAGCCACGGCGGTGGCTGTCGCTGTGGTGACGCTGCTGCAGAGGCCTTTAGTGGTGAGAGAAGTGCGCATGTGGCTTTGAAGCCGCAGGCGTTGCAAACCACGCCCAGACTCCCAGCCAGGCTCCAGGACCAATCACGAGGACGGCAGTGGGCGTGGCGTCGGTGGCCCCACCTTTCAGGGCGGTGGGAATCTGCTGCCAGCGTGTTACCGCAGACGGTGAGCCCGGGGCTTCGGTAGTGCAGCGCCTCCAGGGGCCTCCAACTCAGCCCTCTGTGTGCCTCTGTTTGGCCTCTGTCAATGAAAAGGGGACTTTCACATTCCCCCCCCTCGGCGTCCCATAGGGCCTGGGCACGAGGCTATCTACACACACGGGAAAAGGGGGACCTCCACGCTTTTCACGTTTACACCTCCACCTTTGGTCATCGTGCCCCTAGTCGGGCAAATCCACTGAGCGGATCAGCGTAGCTGTCCGCGAAACGCATTTCAGCTGTGCGCCCGCTGTCTGCACCCTGGTTTGCATCTGGTCTGCCTCCTTTGCATACTCCCTACGTCCATCCCTACTCCAAGAAGACATGTATGTCATGACAGCAGGCTAGCAGTGCACCCGCTAGGGAAGGTCGGTGACAAGAGGTGTGTGACGTGGAGAGGACGCCACCTGAGGGGAGGCTGCCTATCATGCGCGATCCCAGGAGCAAAGGGATGGCACTCTCTGAACTTTGGCACTTGAACCACCCCCGTGCGCACCAAATCAGGAAAGCCCCCAGTCTCTTTCCTTTGTTCCCCAACGGCCTACACACACACACTCAGATACAAAGATGCACGGCCACGCGGCACGTGGACACAGACACACACACGCTGTCAGCACAAACGCAAGGTCTCACGCAAAAGTACTCAAAGGCGCTAGCCACAATACACTCACAGACACTCATCCCGCTCGCGGGGCTAGCTCCTTCCCACGACTCACACTTGCTTTCCCTGCTCACACAACACATGCAGTTGTCCTGGGGCCCAAAGCTGGCTGAACACGAGGGCAGATTCAGTATCTCCATGGGGTCAAGGAAGCTTGCATTGAGATGCAAGGAAAGAGAGCCACAAGTGATACCAACCTTCCAGTACCAACAAAAGTGGAACGTGGCAGGTGGAGAAACACCAGCCACGACTAGGTTCCCAGCCTCCTCGGCCCCTGCCCACTCTTCACACCCTCTAAACACTGGGGAGTCCCTTGGGTTTCAGTACCTCCCAGCTGGCTGCAACCTACAGGGCAAGGGCCAAGGGACTGACCTTTCACAGTTCACATGTATACCCAGCTGGTAGTGGGCTGCCTGGAGGCAGTCACGGCTTAGGAGGTCTGGATGTGCTCTGACCCCTGTTACTTACGCGTCCCTTTGTGTGTTCCCTTGCAGCCCTGTGCCATCAGCAGCCTACTATGTCCATATGGGCATGCACAGCACACGGAAACCCAGATGCACTGATACTGTCCAGGGACGGGACAGAGACAGAGAAAGAGAGACGGAGGTGGGGGAGGGAGGAAACGTTCCCTAGAGAAAATGATCACAGGGACTCAGAGACAGACAGAGACCAGAGGGACACGGAAGGAGGCAGAGGAAGGAGAGTAAGTCACAACTAGAGATAGCCACAGAGGGGGAGTGTGTGTGTGTGTG